TGCTTCGTTTGCTATTATTTTCTCCCAATCTGAGGGCTGTCTTTTCACCTTGCTTATAGTTTCCTTTGTTGTGCAAAAGCTTTTAAGTTTCATTAGGTCCCATTTGTTCCCATTTGTTTATTTTTCCCAGGTTATTTAATTTGATCTCTGTGAAAACTGTGAGTGGGAGGCTGGGCAAGTGTCACTGTTCCATTGTACAGAAGAGGACATTGAGGCTCCCAAGATTAAGTAAGAAATTGACCGTTGTGGGCACTGATAGCTTATGAGAGAAGGGTAGGAGGATAATTATTTTTACTTTATATTCTTTTATGCCTTTTGAATATTATACATATGCATGAATTAACTATTCAAACTCCCACTCCAGTATTCTTGCTGGGAAATTCCATGGACAGAGGAGCCTGGCAGGGTACAGTCCATGGGGTCCCCAAAACAGCTGAGCAACTAACACACAGAGACACAGACACAGATACACACACAGAAACACACACACATAACCAACTAGGTGATGGGTTTCTGCTCCTGGAAACTAACCCAGTCCTGACAGAGTCCATGCATTAGGCATCTACTGGCCAAGTACTTTGCTCTCACACTTGATCTGCTTCTCTGGCCAGGATTATTATTACAGCCTCCCAGCTGGTCTTCCTATTTCAGGCCTTGCCCTTTGCTTATTGTCTACATAGTAGCACACACAGGATGATTCTGCTGAAATGTTGGTCAGATCATTTCATTCCTTTGAACAAAATGCCCTAGTGGCTCTATCTCACTCAGAGGAAAAGCCAGTCCTTTCTACAGCCTGTAAGACCCTAAACATTCCAGGACTTGACTCCTCTGACCTCATCTCCCATCACTCTTCCCTCACTTAACCACAGTTACATGGGCCAGAAAGAGTCCAGAAATAAAGTCATATATCTATGGTCCACTGATTTTTTATAAGATTATCAAGCCATTCAGTAAAAGAACTGTCTTTATAACAAATGGTGCTGGGACAAATGGACATCCACATGTAAAAGAATGAAGTTGGACCCCTACCTTACACTTTATTTAAAAATTAACTCAAAAAGGGTCAAAGATCTAAATATAAAACTATAAAATTCTTGGATGCAAATGCTATGACCTTGAATTATATAGTAGTTTCTTAATTATGACACCAAAGGCCACAAGCAACCAAAAAGGGGGAAAAAAGTATTAGACTATTATGCATTAAAAAAACCATCAAAAAGTGAAATGAAAAGCCACAGAATAGGATAATGTACTTATAAATCATGTATCTAATAACAGTCTAGTATTCAGAATACAGAAAGAACTCTTAAACTCAACAATAAAAAGACAAACCACCCAATTTAAACTTAGGCAAAGGATTTGAATAGATATTTCTCCAAAAAGGATATAAAAATGACCAATGTCAGTAATCATCAGGGAAATGCAATTCAAAACCAAAATGAGATACCACTCACACCTGCTAGAATGACTGTAATACTTTTGTTTTAAAGAAAGAAAGTGGAAGATAATGAGTGTCGGCAAGGATATGAAAAATTTGGAAGCCTCATACATTGCTGGTAGAAATGTAAAATGGTGTGTATGGCCACTTTGGAAAACAGTCTTTGAAGTTCCTCAAGAAGTTAAAACATAGAGTTACTATATGACCTAGCAATTCCACAAGAGAATTGAAACATATGTTCACACAAAAACTTATACATGAATGTTCATAGTGGCATTATTTGTAATAGCCAAAATATGGAAACAACCCAAGTTTCCATTAACTGATGACTGGATAAACAAACTGTGGTATGTCAATACAATGGAGTATTACTCAGTAATAAAAGGGAATGAAGTCCTGATACATGATACATGTGGATGGACCTTGAAAATATTATGCTAAGTGAAAGAAATCAGACATAAAGGCCACACAGTGTACTATTTAATTTATATGAAATGTTCAGAATAGGTTAATCCATGCAAACAGAAAGTAGATTACTGGTTAACAGGGGATGGGGGAAAGAGGGAATTGAGAGGTATGGGGTTTCTTCTTGATGTGATGGAAACATTCTGGAGTTCAGTAGTGGAAATGGTTGCACAATGCTGTCAGTATAGTAAATACCCAATGAATTATATACTTTTAAATGGTTTCAATGTTGAATTTTATGTTATGTGGAATTTATCTCAATATAAGAAAACTTAAGTAAATTGATTTAAAAAAATGTTTCCATAAAGAAATTTCCAGGTCCAGATGGCTTCAGTAGTAAATCCTACCTAATATTTAAGGAAGAAAATGTATCAATTCTACACAGAAAATGAAAATGAAAAAAAAAGGAACACTTCCCAACTCATATTTTGAGTGAAGTACTACTCTGATACCAAATCAGAAAAAAAATTTGATTATAAGATTGCAAGAAAAGAAATAAATCTCTAATGAACATAGACAATTAACAAAATTCTAGCAAATCAAATCTAGCAACAGATAGAAAGGGAAATGAGGCATGACCAAATCGGGTTATCCCAGGAATGGAAGGTTTGTTTACCATTTGAAGATTAATCAGTGTAATTCACCATACTAGCACAATTAAAAAAAACAAAAAACACCAAACAACTATATGATCATCTCAATACAGTTGCAAAGTCTTTTGACAAAATTCAAAAGCTATTCAGTAAACAAGAAATAGAAAGAACTTTCATAACTTAATAAAGGACATCTATGAATAATCTCCAGCTAACATAATACTTAATAGTGAAAGACTGAATGCTTTCCCCCAAAGATTAGGTAAAGGGCAAAAATGACCACCTTAGCCCTTGTTTTCAACATTGTACTGAAGGCCCTAGACAGTGCAATAAGGAAACTAAAACAAATAAAAAACATATAGATTGAAAAGGAAATTATCTTTATTCAAAGACAACACGATTGTCTACTTTGGAAGTCCTAAGGTAGCTACAAAAAGCTATCAAAACTAACAAATAAGTTTGGCAGGGTCACATGATACAAAGTCAATGAACAAAAATCAAATGTATTTCTGTGTATTAGCAATAAATAGTTAGAAATAAAAATATAAAATACCATTCACAATAACACAAAAACTTAGTATCTCAGGGATAAATTTAACAAAATATATGAGGAACCTATATAGGAAACTATAAAATATTCCTATGAAAATTTTAAGACCCAATTAAATGAATGTTAAATGGACAGATACACCATGTTTATGGACTGAAAGCCTCAATATTGTTAAGATATCAATTCTCCTCAAATGAAGATATATTTGAAAAGCAAATTGTTCTAAGAAATCCCAATAAGATGCCAGTTGGCTTTTTTCTTTTTTTTCAAAGAAGTTGAAAAAAAGCTGACTACATCTATATATAAAATAGGTAAACAATAAGGTCCTATGGTATAGCACGGGGAACTATATTCAATATCCTGTAATAAATCATAATGAAAAAGAATACAAATAACTGAATTATTTTGCTGTATACCAGAAACATGCACAACATGGTAAATCAACTTTACGTCAATTAAAAATTTAAGAGTTGGGAGGGGACACGGGTAAACCTATGGCTAGTTCATGTTGATGTTTGATAGAAACCAATGCATTACTGTAAAGCAATTATCCTTCAATTAAAAGCGTATAAAGATTAAATAAAAAGAAAATGTATGTGGGAATAGAAAATACTTAGAATAACCAAAACAATTTTAAAAAATTGAAGAACATGGAGGGACTTCCCTGGCAGTCCAGTGGTTAAGACTCTGTGCTTCTACTGCCAAGGAACACAGGTTCAATCCCCAGTCTGGGAAATAAGATCTCATATGTTGCACTAGTGCAGCCAAAAATTAAAAAAAAAAAGAAGGAGAAGAAGAACAGGGAATTCCCTGGTTGTCCAGTGGTTAGTACTCTGTGATTTTACTATCGAGAGAGTGGGTTTAATTCCTGGTCAGGAAACTAAGGTCCTACAAGCTGTGCAGTGCGGCCAACAAGTAAGAACAAAGTGCAGCTAAAGAAAAGAACAAAGTTAAAAGACTTACTTTATCTGATCTCAAGACTTATTACAAAGCTACATAATCAAGACAACGCAGTATTGCTATAAAGATAGATTATAGATCAATGGAACATTATAGAGCCAGAAATAGGCCAATACATATATAATCAGTCAGATGCTTTACAGAAGTTCCAAGGTTATTTTATGTAGAAACAGCGTTTTCAACAAATGGTGCTGGAACAACCTGATATCCAACTAACTTCAACCCTTCCCTCACACCTTCTTATACAAAAGTTAATTCAAAAATTCATCCTAAAAATACAATTGATTTTTGTATATTGACTTTATATAGTGTGACCTTGCTGAACTCACTTGTTAGTTTTGGCTAAGGAGATGGGCGGTTAGGATGGGGGAAAGTGGTGGGGGGGGGGTCATGTGTGAGGCTGGCTAATTTAGAACAGGTGGTCAGGGAAGACCTCCTAGGAGAGGTGACATCTGGACAGATTTGAAAGAGGCAGGAAAACCAGACATGGAGCACTTTGAGAGGGGGAGTTGGGGGTCTCCCAGGGCTGCCAGAATTTATACTCACAACAGAGCTGGTAGCAGAATCGGGCTGAGCCCAGGTCTGCCCCTTGGAAAAAGTCCGAGAGAAGAGGCTTCTTTGGGGTGGGGGCAATGCAGCCAGTAACTCGAGACACAAAGACTGACTCAGGTAGCAGTCTGACTGCCTGGGGAAGGGAGTGCCTATCGTCTGGGTGGAATGGTATATGGAAAGCCATTTGTCACCTCCCTAGGGTGGCAGGGACACCAACACTCTAGCTGGGGGGCCAGTAGCTTCCCCAACGTCTACTTGGACAGAGCATGTGTCACAATGTGATACTTTACATATTCATTCACAGAAGTTCCTTAGTGGTCCAGTGGTTAGGGCTCTGTGTTTCCACTGCAGGGGCCCCGGGCTCAATCCCTGGTCTGGGAACTAAGATCCCACAAGACACATGGCACAGCCAAAAAAAAAAAGAAAAGATATATTCATTTACCTATCTGTCATCGGTGTCATGAAAACATGAGCTCCATGGGGACAGAGACCTGCAAAGAACAAGCAGGTGATTCACACAATTTCTTTGTGATGAGGGACTTCCCTGGTGGTACAGTGGTTAAGACTCTGCACTTTCAATGCATGGGACATGTGTTTGATCCCTGGTCAGGGATGTAAAATCCCACATGTTGTGTGATGTGGCCAAAGGCAAAATAAAACAGATTAATGTGATGAGCAATCTGGCAAGCCCTCCATCCCCCTCTTAGGAGAGGAAGTCAAAGTGGAAGGCCAGATGGCCTGGCCCAGGGGTGGTTCAGGCTCTGGGAAAATACTTGAGCTGAGGGTGATTCATCATTCCCATCCCACACAGTGAAACCGGAGACTAGGTTGCTTATCCTTTACTTCGTTCAGGGCTCACAAATTCCCTCTAAGGTAGATTATACCCTCACCATTCCCAGATGAAGAATCCCCGGCTCAGATTTGAGATACCTTACAAGTTTACATAGCTGATAGATGTCAAAGCTGCTTCTCTCCAGGACCCAGAGTCTATCTTTCCATGCTGAACTTTAGAATGGGGTTTGAAGCCACAGGCGGTTGTTACGGTGATGGAGTGGGATGGCAAAGGTGAGCTCCAATAGGTGTTCTGAGTGACTGCTGGCATCTGTTAGACACCAGGAGCCCTTGGGCAGGAGAGGAGACTTGGGTCAGATCCTGCTCCACTCGGACAGCTGTCTTGCCCAAGAAACACTGAGCATCACACGACCTTCTGATCTGGCCAAGGGTCCCAGGTCCAAGGGTAAATCCATTCAAATGGAGGGAGAATCCTGTGACAAAGGGGATCATTACACAGGGGCCTAGCTTGTAGCACCTGTGAATTCACAAGGGGACCAGCACACCTAGTGAGTCATCAGGTCTAAAGTGCCTGGTAGTGCATCTGACACGCAGTAGGTGCTCAATCTTGGGTTGCTATTATTATGATAAAGACAATATTCTCACGCGGAAATTAGTAATAAATTGGAAGCTGAATTTCCTTCTGGGCTGAGTTGGAGAGCTCTGCAGGGCCAGGGTTGTGGGAACCAGATGAAATTTGTTCCTAATGAGGGTTCTGTGGAAGCTCAGCAAGTAGTTCTATCAAATTAACAGGCCCAGCGGACACAAGAGAGCAGATTTCTTCCTGAGCCTGGGCCCTGCCATCCCTCAGCCCTTGGAAATCAGATTATCGGGTGGGCAGGGCCAGGGAGGAAGCTGAACTAAATACAATTACCAGCCCCAGCTTGTCCTTCTCAGCCTGGAACAGGGCAGGCAGGAGGGGAAGGCAGAGGGGAGTCAGAGCCTTGCTCAGGAAGTTACAAATCCAAGGAAGTGGATAGGACAGGCCCATCCGTGCTGGAGGGCCTTGTCTCCATGAGCCCATCCTGGGATTAATTGTCTCATCCCCATGCTGTTCCCACAAAACACCAGTAACCCAGGCTTCCTCCCTTGGAGATAAGTGCAGTAATTCCTTTTATAGCCATGATCCCATCCAGCCTCGGCTTGAATCTCCCTAGTGATGGGCTGTTTGTTACCCAACAAGGTCTTCCGTCCCATTACTGATTCAAAAGCAGCCAACTGTAGGCAAAAGCCATTGGTATCTGGCCTTAGATCTGGCCACAAAGTTGATGTAGAACTGTGGGCGGGCTTGGCCGCCTTTCCTCACCTGTGAGTTTTGTGGCCTTGTGGGAGGCGCTGTGCGGATGTGCTCCGTGTCCTTCCGTGCTCTCCCACTGTGAACTGTGATTTTCCAGGTGGACTCTGACTCATCGAAGGACATCAGCCCATCACGGTCTCAGGAGTCGACCTGGGCATTTCCTTGGCTGTGGTGGTCCAGGCAGAGCCACCCCTTCAGACTTTCCTGCCACGACTGAAGGAAACTGCTCTTGCCATAACTCCAGATGGGAGCAAGGCAGCGTTTGCCCTGAGTGCTGATGATGAGGGCTACCCCGCCGCCATGGAGGAAGCCGGCCTGACACAAAGCAGACACACGTGGAGGCAGAGCTGAGAGAGCTTCAGGGGAAACGATAGGGCCTGAGAAATGTCCAGTGTATCCCAGAACTTTTCGGTTATGGGGGAGCCAGTAAATTACCATCATTGTTCCATGCGGTTGGTTTAAGTTGCCTTTTCTGCCACTACCCATCTCTTAATGGGGCGGAGACTCCTTTCAGGCTTAAACGTGTGGAGGTTTTTCCTATAAACCAGCTATACCTCAACAAGGAAAATAATAAATTTTATTTAAAAAGTGAAAAAAAAAAAGTGTTGAGACTTTTCCTAGTAGGAAAACAGCTAGTAGGAAACCGGCTTCTCTGAGTTTCCATTCAATGGCTGTGGTTACAGCACTGGCCACGTGCACTCTGTTTCCACAGGAAGTGAGCTCAGGAGTCTGCTGAGTCTCTCATCTCCCACCTAGGTCAGTAGTAAGCTAGGAGAGAGAGTTTTTCTCACATTCAGAGAAAACGCAGCAGAGGAAGAGGAGGAACAGGAGAGGAGCCCAACAGCTCAGCTCATTACTGAGCCACCGCATGCCCTTTTTGGCTCCTACCGAAGTTGGGTTTAAGTTGGGTTTCTGTTATCTGACTCCTAAAACCATTCTTTTCATGTCTGCTCCCCAGCACCGAACACTGTCTGCCACATAAGAGACTCTCAGTTAAGATTATGGCTTTATTTCCCATGATCTGGAGCCTTCTACTGATTTTGCCAAATTCAAGAATGTGTTAGTGTATGTGGTTGTCTCTTTGGAGGAGCAGGTTCGATTTTTGGAAGGCAGATTCAGCAAACGTCTCTCAAGTACTGTGCCAGGGGTTTTCACATATATTACTTTATCTACTATCCAAACTGCTCTAGGTAATTCTATGCCCATTTCCCAGAGATAGAGAAACTGAGGCTCAGAGAAAGTTAGGTAGCATTTTAAAGTCACCCAGCTAAAACTGACAAAACCGGGAAGAGAAGATATGTCTTCTGAGAGTGACACTGTTGACTGATGATAAACTTAAATCTACTTAAGAGAACACCAAAGGCCTTGCAGGTCCTTTTCAACTTCCACTGTGAGAAAACCCTCCCCCACAGGCTGCCTGTGACCCTCTTCGGGCAGTGGTGGACATGGTCTGCGTGTAGCTCGTCAGTCCTGCCCTGGAGTCAGCTTCGAGTCAGTCCCCGGGAGCCTTTGTCAGTGCTGGATTTGTGAATCAGAAGTTGTTCATTGTGTTCTTAGCAACTTCAACTTAGAAGCTGCTAAGTTGTGTCTGACTTTGTGCGACCCCATGGACCGCAGCATGCCAGGTTTCCCTGACCTTCACTATCAATGTCCATTGAGCCAGAAGGGCCAGAGGCAAATGTGCACGTTTGAGGGAAATGGCCAGCGGGCAGGGTTAAAGTAGGTGAACTCACCCAGTTCCCTGTGAAACCAGAAGCACAGAGAGGAAGAAGTTACTGGCAACCACGTGAGCATGCCCTCCCCCTCTGATTTTTCTTTCTAAATGTCTCTACTGAGATATAATTCACATATCATAAAACTGGCCCATTGTGTACAACAATTGTTTTGAGATATATATATATATCTATATATTTTGATATATATATTGAGTATATATATAGAGATATAGATATATACTGAGTTGTACAACCATCACTACAATCTAAGTTTAAAACATTTTCATCACTCAGAAAGAAACCTTATACCCATTAGCAGTCAACTCCCCATTTGCCCTCAATCTCCCTTCCCCCAGTGCTAGGTTACTCAATCCACTTTCTGTTTCTTTAGATTTGCTAATTCTGGACATTTCATAAAAATGGAATCATCCATTATGTGGTCTTTTGTGCAGGTTTCTTTCACTTAACATAATGTTTTCAAAGGTCATCCATGTTGTAGCATGAATCAGTATTTTACGGCCAAATATTACCACACTGTATGGATATACCAACTGATATAGTCATCAGTTCATGGACATCTGGGTTGTTTCTACTTTTTGGTTATTAGGAATCATTCTGCTATGAACATTCACGTACAAGTTTTCGTGAGGTTCTGGTTTATTTATATATTCATCTCTGTTCCCCATTCTCAGGTTCCTTCCCACATAGGTAACCGTTTCAGTTTACGTAATGTTTTTTAGTTAACGCGTTTCTGATAAATGTGTATTCCTCTTGGGTGTGTGCATTTTTAATTTGCTCACATGGTGGTATATGTTGCAGTTCATTTTCTGTACTTTTCTTTACTCAGCTCTGTGGTTTGGGGATCCATCTATGTTGCCGTGAGCAGCATCTGGTTCATTGTGCTGTCTGCTGTGGGTCCTCAGGGGTGGGCTACAACCACATTTTGGACCCCGGCTTCCACTTTATTGTCCACTTTGCTGGCACCACGCCCAAACCCACAGTGGACATCTGGTATGTGTCCCCTTCAGAACCTGGCGAGAATGGCTAGAACATATGTCTGAGAGAGGATTGCTGGGACACAGAATATGTGCATACTTTCTTTGAGTGGTGCCTGACTATGAACATTCTCCGCTGCTGGCAGACAAGACTGGGGCTGCAAGGAGTCAGAATTGTTCTTTTCATCCATTTTCCCCACACGGAAATAATAGCTGAAACAGATACTCGCCATCCCGACTTGCAAAGCCTGACATCAGTACTGAGATGCACCATGCCTACTGAATGACAGAGACAGACAGACCTTTTTATTTCCTGTCTCACACCTCTTTACTAAGTTCCTAGGACACTGACTACATTTATACCTCCTGAGCTCATACAGTGAGATGGTTCTTCAACCCTTGTGGATAAAATTTCTGAAGAAAAACTGTTACAAAATTTTTGTTTTGCTCTTGGGGTGCAAAGAACTCTGACCCCATAACGAGCTTCTTCTTTTTTTGTAACCAGGAGGTGAGTGGGAGGGGCCTGGCTTCTTAAACTCTCCCAGCACTAGGAGCACCAAGGAACTGGGGAAGAGAAGGGAGGATTCAAGGGATCAGCTGGGAATTTTCCCTGGGGTTTCTGCTGACTTCCTAGAGAGAGATTAAAATCCTTATGGAGGGTGGAAACTGTGAAATTTCTTCCCTGGGAAAATTTCCTACATTTTCGGAGGATCAACCATCTGGGCAAAGCTCGAAGTTAACACATCCCTTGGATGACTGGTTTCTTTTTGTTTGTTTGCTTTGGCTGCACTGTGGGGCATGCAGGATCTTAACTCCCTGACCAGGGATTGAACCCATGTCCCCTGCAGTGGAAATGCAGCAGGGAAGTCCAAGTGGTTTCTTTTTAAGGGACTGACTCAGAGCTTACTCTACATCCCTACCCACAGGGGTGCATCTTTTCACAAAGCACGTGTGCGTCATCAGAAGTTTTTTTGCAAAGAATCCATTTGTATGTAATGTGAATCCCTTTGTCCTCATTCTGGTTTCCTAAGTTTGGATTTCTCATAACTGGCTTTTCCTAAGTGAAGGCCATCCTCCTACTGGACAGATCAAATCCCTGTTGGACAGTCCCAGTAAGTCACTGGAAGGGCCTGGTGGACGGCTGGGAGTGGTTGCTGCGCCT